GCTCGAGAATTTCTGATGATCAATTTTTTTCAATAATCTGATACTTTAACCTTCACAGGCGGCCTTATATATGGGGCTCATATTTGGTGGAGGTACTTAACCGGGTACAAGGTATCCCCCTGTATATTAATCTGCCGCGCTTTAGTAAATCCCGAAATCCCCGCTTGGGCTCCCCTATTACTACGTAAACGCATATATGAGACAACACGCAGAAAACGAGTTTTTAACAGATAACAGACACTTCCTTTTCAGGTTCAAAGATAAACACTCGACCGCGATCTCTTTTTGAACAATAGTGTCCGGATAGTTAGATTAGATTAGATTAGATTAGGAAGTGAAAGCACCTAAAGGCTGACTTTCGACAGAAGAATGTCAGATGTCAATCCTTGCTGAAGTGTCTATCATCAAGGATTGAGGACCTCTCACGTAAGAGCGGGGGTGGAAGGAATGGTATATTAAGTTCTCCTCACAAAATTTATTTTGTGGGGCCAAGTTTTTATCCCAGGTCACTCAACCCGGAATGGGACGGATGTTTGTACTACGATGATTTGATGGTTATTCGATTGTTGAGATCGTTTTTATACATTGTTATCGTTTCATAGCCATCTGCGATAACTGAGTCAAGCTTTTGTTTCATGAGTTCGAAGTATTCTTGTTGCTTTTCCGTTTGGTCTATAAATATCTCTTCAACAATCATTTTTAGAAACATACTTTTTTCTGGTGTCACTGCCAATTTATGTAACTTTCATTTCTATTGAAGCAATATGAAGGTTTTTTTTAATAAATTTTCGCTAGTTCAAGTTATTCTTTCTTTGCTTGTAGTTGTATCATAACTATTTTCAAATAGTTTTTATCCTGCTTCATACCGTTGCAATTAGTGCTTTTAGTACATTGATGAACAGAGCAATGGTTGAAATAGAAAAAACGCAACTACTAACGTCCGCACCGTTCCTCCGGCCGACGTCCGTTTTATACGAATCGGCACTACTGTGGCCACTGGCTACTTGCTTCATCAAAACGATCACTTTCTTACGTTGAGCAGTTTATCATAAGTGTTAACTCCCTAGTGTGTTCATACACTGGTATTTCCAAGGCTGACTCAATATTCACGATTACCACAGATTGACAGAAAGATCAGATGGGTCATCAAGAAACCAACTCGCGAAATTGATTATGATAATGTTTCAGTAATGTGTGTTATGTTGTTGCGGAAGCAGAAATAAACATGATCGAGTTATTTAAAAGTACTGTGATAATTTTTGGTTTATTTTCTGTGTGTCACATAAGTAAGTAATAATTTTTTTGCGTGGCTTATTGAGAGATTATTGAATTAGCGGAAAAATAACTTCTGAGAATGTGAAAGAATGTTTTGTTTGCTTGAACTTCGTCCCAAATCATACTTTCTAACTGAAAAGTCTCTTGTTGAGAGATTATTGAGTTAGTGGAGAAATAACTTCTGAAAATGTGGAAGACTGCTTTGTTTGCTTGTCCCAAATCATACTTACTACGTGGGCTGATAAGTCTCTTGTTGAGAGTTTATTAAGTTAGTAGAATGGAAATGTGGAAGACTGTTTTGTTTGAACTCCTTCCCGAATCATACCTACTACATGGGCTGAAAAGTCTCGGAGCTAACACATTAATGGCGCTAGTTTTATTACGTTCACCGCTTTTTCAGTGAGTACCAATCTTTAAAAGGAAGCCGTTGAAATTTCATGATATTATACTCATACATTTTAAAGTTATTGTATTTAGAGTGACACTACTTTTGTTATTTTCAAAATAATGGATCAAAAACAATTTCCTGTTTTAATTTTACACTGCTTGTGGATGGGAAAAAATACTGTATAAGCGAAGAAATGGCTCAAAAAGTGTTATAAGGACTCCGCTTTATCAGAAACAACAGATAAATGTTGGTTTGAAGTGGGTGCCGTGCGAGCTCACTGTTGACCAAACACAAGAACGTCTTGATAATTCTAAGCAGTGTATCGAAATGTAGGCTTTCACGGCTGGCGTCAATGTTTTGATTGACATTCAGGTTTTGCCGAGGTCTTCTTTGGTTATAATCTCCAAACGTTTCAACTGCCACTGCGGCAATCATCTTCAGTGGTGTCTTCAGTTGACACATTAAGACGAGTACTTTAACCGCCCACTAAAAATGACTACTTTATTTGCAGTTGAAATGTTTGGAGATTATAACCAAAGAAGACCACGCCAAAACGCGGGTTAAGCCAATCAAAACATAACAAACCTGAATTTTTGCATTGATATGTGAAAATGGATGAAACATGGATACATCACTTCACTTCGGAATCAAAGCGATCGTCATCTGAGTGGAGAGCAACTGGTGAACCTCGTCCAAAGCGCCCGAAAGCACAACAATTGGCTGGACAGGTATTTTGGTATGTGTGTGACCATCGTGAACGGTGAACATTATATAGCGTTATGGAGCGTTTGAAGGTCGAAATTGCAAAAAACGATCGTATATGGCAAAAAAAAATTGTTCAACCACGATAACTTATTTTGTCACAAGTCAATGAACACAATGGCGAAACGAAATGGAATAAACTTGGAACTGCTCTCACATCCACCGTATTCGCCAGATTTGGCTCCCAGCTGCTACTGGCTGGTCGCAGACAAAATGTTAGTGCTGAAACTGAGGCCTATTTTGAGGCAAAAGATAAATCGTTCTACAAAAGTGGTATTGAAATGTTAAAGCGGCGTTGAAATGATGATTGATGGAGATGACATTGATGAACAAAGCCAATTCTGAACAAAAAAAAATGCGGTTTTTTTTTCTTAGGCCCGGAACTTTTTAGCCCATATGTTGAGGTATGATTGTGAAGCTGGTGTTCGACGTCAGCGCCCACATTTATCGTCCAACCCTTATTTTGAATCCGAAATACACCGTACATATAAGGGACCGTGTATTATGAAAATTGCACATTTGATTTGGTTATAGTTTCGAACTTAATAGTTTCATTTTGATCCAAAAATAACTGGACATTGATCAATACCAAGCACTATACAGTTCTGTACTCTCAAATACTCCTAATAAAAGGTAAGGTGCAGGCCAGTGAGATATTTCTGTTTCAACGCCATATCACTATTTATGTTCAGATTCATGAATTGTTATCAGAATCTGTTTGTTCTATAGTTTCCAATGCAATTGAAATATAAATTTGTATCATGTATCCATTTTATGTAACAATAGTTGATGTTTCATCAATTCTATTGATTAGAATCTGATAGTACCCATATTCGAAATTGAGACTTGCGAATTAAATCATAACTACAAAAAAAGTTGGAATTTTTTCTCGAAAGTGATTTAATTGACACAGAAACGTCTTTGATTGTTTTTTATCTAACAGAGAATTAAGACTGAAAGAAAAAGAGCTGCTATTTCTTTTCCATATCTGGGGCACCAACTTTTTACCTATTGGCTCTCAAGTACGAGCATCTCTGTATGGAGGCGATCAGGACAATGGTTGGACATTTAGACATTTCCCAAAGGAGAAAACATACCAAAAAAGAGCATAGTTTCTGTATGGTGCTCGGTGGCTGGTGTGATTCACTATTACTTTCTGAAACCGAGCTAAACCATGATATTATGAGGAGATCGACATGTACCGGAAACTGTGTCAGCAGCAGCCGGCACTAGTAGACAAAAGAGGTCCAGTCCTTCTCCACGACAACGCCCGTCTGCACGTTACACAAATTACCTTCCGAAAACCAAACGAATAGAGCGTCGAAGTTCTGCCTCATCCACCATACTCCCCAGACTTGTCGCAACCGACTATCATCTTTTCAAGCACGATAACTTTCTCACTGGTAGAACCTTCGCCAATCAGGACCAGGTGAAAAAGGCCTTCGTCGACTTCATCAAATCTGGAGCACACAATTTTTTTACTGATTTCACCGAATTGAGTAGACTCATAAAAACGGACAACACTTTTGAAACAAAATACTTTTTGAATTGTAAAGGCTATATTTTTAGGAGTGATTAATTTCAAATTTCAATTTCAAAAGGAGTAACTCTATACATAGATATGCAAATCTTGCAAAGAAGTAACTTTCAGACACAAACTGAAAGAAAAAGCCCTCCTGAAACAACTACTTTCATATAAACATTGAATTACACGAAAGAATAATTCTTTCGAAACAAATACTTTTATATGAACACTGAATTGTACAAAAAACACTTTTCTCTATTTAATTTGTATTCCATATATTCGCATTGAAATTGAATCAGATATCATTCACATGATTCCTACATAATATACTAAATGAAAGGTAAAACTCCCACTTACATGGAACACTGTCATCCTCACTGGTAGATATCGATGTTTCCCCGTATGACACTTGCCTTAGGGCTCTTTAGTACCAATCTCAATAACATAAAAAAACACACAATTCATTCATAAATTACGACTTCATGTAACGGAATGAATTTGATTTATTCATGTCATCGATTATATCGTAATGACACTCATTTGCGTATTTGATTAAATCCCAGCTAAAGGAAACTTGTTTAATTTGAAAGGTTTTATTTTTAGGAGTGATTATTTTTGGGAGAGAAACAAAGAAAGGGAGGAAGCAATCGCTTTCAAAAATTACCTATAAAACAAACATGTGTAGATCATGCAATGAAGTAACTGTCAGACACAAACTGGAAGAAAAAACCCTCCAGAAACAGCTACTTTCATAAAAATATTGAATTACATAAAAGAAAAAGTAAAATACTTTTATATGAACACTGAATAATACAAAAACTACTATTCTCTACTTAGTTTGTATTCCAAACATTCGTTAAGCAATACTACTGGAATACTGTGATTGATGTGATATGTGAAAAACAAATGAAGTAGAATATTGAACCAAATCATCACTGTTCAATGATAAATAAATCGAAATTGGATGCGGAGGCTACTTTTGAATTCTTGACAATATATCACTATTTTCTACTCAGATATGTTCATCTCAAACAATTTTTTTATTACAGGAGCACACGATTCATGTTTCACTCCTAGGAATGAGAGAGGAGACTGTAAGGTTATTATTTCGTGTCCAAGTTTATTTGCTCTCTTAGAGAAACGTCCCATTAAGTCATACGACGCAGATTACCTGAGACGATCTCAATGTGGTTTGGAAGGAACCATGCCAAAAGTATGCTGCCCATTAGGAGATCAAAAGCCCTCAACATCCAGATCAGTGGTTGATTATATGGAACGTGAGTTACGAGCATATACATTATCGACATCAGTTGACATATTAAAACAATAAACCTCTCATGTAGAAGTGATACTCTTACAAAGGCGAAAAAACTACCCAATCCTTGTGGTGACTGTGCTCATTATACAGTGCATTTCCTTAATGTCCCCCCTTTACTTTTTGAACGGGTCAACTCAAAAAATTGAAATTTGGGATGATGAAATTGATTCGTGAATACTTTATTTTGAAGTAAAATTGACAGATGAAACTTTCAAGTTGGCGACTGGGCGCCATCTGGGAAAAAAATTAAATAGAAAGGGAAGTCTTGTGTCACATCATTTTGAAGAATCTGACGAATACTTAACAACCCTAGAATATGAAGTCAATATGTTTACCTACTACAAATGGCGGAACATTTAATAATTTCCTGAAGATAAACACATATCGACATTTCTAGAAATATTTCTTTTCAACTGCCATATGGTAATTCCAACAACCCCATAAGGTTTGTTGAGTTATTTTTGTTTGTACATAAATGTCAGTACGACAATGAACATCATTGTTCAGTTAGAATATTCTCATTTAGTTTTCGGTTTTTCTAGTAGAAAAACCGAGTAGTTGACGTGGTACCGTCAGCAATCTCTAAATGTTCAATTCTGGTCCATTGGAAGAAAAAATTGAAGTGATTTTTATTTACGGCGCGACGCGTAACTTTCACGAGACCGAAAGGATTTTCAATGAACGGTTTCCGAATCGTCCTATCCTTAGAAAATATTTGAGGGAACTTGAATCCAAATTCACAACCGGTAGTGTACATAACAAAAAGCCCCCAGGTCATTCGTCCATTCCGGAAGAACAGCAAGTGCAAATAATTGGTAAGATGGTAGTAAATCCTGTTGTTGTGAGGTGTCTCCTTCTACTGTGTGAAGACTTTTGAAGAGTAGTGAGTATCATCCATACAAAATTAAAATTGTACACCAATTAACTGAAGATGACCCTGATCGAAGAACAGAATTCTGCGAAATCATGACGGATACCATTGCAAGGCATCCTACCTATCACCACAATATTTGTTTTAGTGATGAATGTACATTTTTTTAAACGGCAATGTTCACAGACAAAATTGCCGTTATTGGAGTGACACCAACCCTCAAGTTTTCCGGTAAACACATACCCAATATCTGGAAAAAATTAACGTTTGGGCAGGAATATTGGGAAACCATATTGTAGGACCTCTATTTATTGATCAACATTTAACAGGAGAACTGTATTTGAATATGCTGAAAACTACTGTTGACCCTCTCATCACTGAAATCGTCGAAGCGAATCCTAATGAATTCGATATGGATATTGTATTCCAAGATGATGGAGCACCACCTACCTTATTGACTGAGTTCAAGATGATGATGAGTTTGATCTTTTTTTCGAAGATGATCACTTGGTGATCGAAACACAGGCCGCGGTGTTGAAATAACGGTTTGGTGTTGGGGAAAAACTCCAGTAATATTAATTCACCTACAGTGTAGATAAATCGAGACTGTCCTGAACAAATCGTTTTTTCAATTTATTCGATTTACAGCCAGTCTTCAAGTATGCCCACTGAATATATGGGAAGGTTTCTTTCCTTACACGATGAATTGGGCGAATTATAGATATGTGGTTGGTTAGTATCTTGTTTACCAGATGGAGTGATGACAAATTTGTTTGTTTATTGATGATGGTCACTACCTTGCACTAGCGATAGGCCAAATAGCCCGAAACCGGTCTGCAAATGTGCCCGTTCCTATTATTCAGAATCGATTCCAGCAGTTGTATCGCCAACAGCATATACAAAAAATACTTCTGTGAAGATTTCTGTACTGACACCTGTTAGATATAATCCAACGCCCTTCGTGGTATTAGCCAGGGGGATAGTTGTTTTCTAATAGGTGTCCATTAACCTACAGTGTAGGTGAGTTGAGACTGTCCGGAACACATTGTTCTCTTAGTTAACTTGATAGTGAAAGAAAAGTAGATAGCGCTTCATTCATTAATTCTGCTACAAAATCTACACTATAGCAGGTGGCTCCAACTGTTTGATATAAGGCAGCGAAGATAGCCCAGATAACTGAGAATCATTGGAAATTTTAAAATTCATTTCTTAAGAAATTGATGACTGATGAAGATTCACCTATACGATGAAATTTCAAAATATGAAGCATTTTTTTCCATTTCACAGCGAAACCATCTGACAGCCCTCTCTTACCCACAACCGAGGTGTGTGGTATAAGTACTCAGGATAAAATATATGGTGGATCTGAAGCAGGTCTGAAGGAATTTCCTTGGATGGCGTTATTAGAATACAAAAGGGGTAAGTCATATCTGGTTAAAGTGCAGCATCTGAAAACTTGAAAAACATTATATAAATTATATTTCATTATACTACGTTGTGTAGCGTTCATGTGTATAATCACATTGCTAATATTTGACCTACAAACTGAATGAAAAAAAGTTAATTGAAATGTTTCGTTACATGGAAAGATTATATATATCAAATTTCTTCATTTCGACAATTTGCTTATTCTAGGTCATTTTTTTATTTTGTGAGTCACTACTATTCTGTCGGTAGCCAGGCGGTTCGACGTGGGTGCTTTGATCACTCACTCGAATTGACTGCCGTTCTGGCCGGTGGGTCAAGCCCCAGTCTGAACGATCGATTTTCACTTGCTATCGTCCAACCCGTGTTACGAATCACACGGTAAAAGGTAAGACCTCGTTAATCCCTAGCACGCACAAGTTTCGACTTCTGAGGGTTGTCGTTCGTAGGGATGCGAGTTTGGATGTTACGACGTTGAGTACGTTATGACCCTTTTGCATCAAAAAGTCCATCTACTTCAATAATCATATCTTCAGCATGCTTAAAGTTTCATAAATTGGAATGTAACTTAGGGATAGTACTTGTCTCTGTTCTTTGTTATATTTTCATACGTACCGAGTTATAATCAGTTTTACACCTCATATTTACTTAATTATTACTAGTTATTCGTGTAACATATAATCAAACAGAACTAATGTTAAAAAAATGTTTCGCAATTTTATTCTTATTCACATCGATATTGTCTCTATAGTTTTTTTAGAAGGTGGCGTTAATAAAAACCGTCAGTAATTTTCGAAAGATTGCGTCGTGTCAGCAATGTTTTAGTTGACACAAAATGTTCTGATCTTTTCCAAAATCAGTTCACAGAAGGATGATAATAATAATAATGATTTATTTATTTTATTTGGATCTATTTACAAGATACACGTGTACATTTCAGTGACATTCGGTTATTACCGTTCTTCCATGTAACCAACAAATGAATATTGATTTTTGTACACGGATAATAACAATGGTAACATTAAACACATAAACTAATATGTAGATTCAAGCGAATACAAAAAAATATTCACGATACTGAAATGATAACAGATTCATCATACGATCATGACTTTCTGTATTATTTTGTTTCAATGTATATGCTCTGCAGTTTCATCATTTTCCAGACAGAGGCGACACCCACTGTCTTCCGACAGTCCAAGTATCTGCATGTGATGATTAAAATGACAGTGGCCTGTAAGAAGGCCTATTAGACATCGTAGTTCATCCCTACTGTAGTCCAACAACTGTTTGGAATCAAGCTTCGAAGGGTGAATAAACGCCTTGGAGTGAGCCAATCCTGGACGATTCTGCCAGAAGTCCATAACTCTTCTTGCCATTCAGGTGTTAGGTGTTTGTTTGACAAAGCCCAAAGCTCTGCCAATGACAGGTTCTGGTCCAATGAAGCCGCTTGCAGTACCCTCCTTTGCAAGAGATCAGCAGCTTCATTGCCTTCCAGGCCAGTATGGTCAGAAATCCAGACCAGAGACAATTTGTTTAGTCTTTCTATCGAGGAGAGTCTTTTTTGGCAGTTTGCTACCAATTTATACGTTGCTTGGTGGGAGCCAAGAGCTTCCAACGCCGCTTGACTGTCCGAGAATATTTTTATTGACTTGTGAGTGAGGTTGGATTTATCCAATCTCTCCGCACACAATTCAATAGCGTAAATTTCCGCTTGAAATACAGTCGCATAAGTTCCTTGGCAGGTAGATAACTTTGTCCTGGGTCTGCGACTCCTAACACGGGTAGGACGATAGCAAGTGAAAATCGATCGTCCGGCCTCGAGACTTGAACCACCGGTTCACACAGCGGTCGATTGAGTAACTGGAGCAGAGCACCCACGTCGACCCGACCGGTTACCGTCGTGAACAAGCATTCTGAAAATCATTGTGTTTGGTACTATTGCGTTATTAAACCTCCAATGATGATTTTTCTCGAATAGCCTCCACATAGAGACATATTACAATTTTATTATATATATTGATTTTCAACATCCTACTTATACAACAAATCACCGTCATGAATCGAAAGAGCTTCAACTGATTTGGATTTGATTGTTGAATCATTATTGTTTTTCTCAGATGATGGAAAACATGGGTTCCACTGTGGCGGAGTTTTAATCAATAAGAGATATATTTTAACGGCCGCTCACTGCATAAAAGGAAAGGATATACCAAAATCTTGGACCCTGTGAGTATATGTGTATAGTAAGTTTCACTTATGAATGATATACATAATCTTAATGTTACATTTAGTGAATTTATATTTCGCCCTATATAAAAAAAAGAAGAGTTGAGAAAAGAAAACAATTTTTTTGAAACTTTTCAGGCTATAAACATCGTAAATCTACAGGTTCCATAGTAATGAAATGATACCTATTTCTGAATGTGTTTGTTCAAAATCTGTTCATCCGTTAACCAGCTGTCGCCCCCTTACGAAGGACAACCCTCAAAAGTCGAAACTTGTGCGAGCTAGGGATTAACGAGGGCTTACCTTTGAACGTGCGATTCCTAGCACGTTGAGTTCTTGGTGGGCAGGTTCAGTAAAGCTATCATTCTTGAAAAATAGAAAATCTTGAGTTTGACGGATACATCACAACATAATAGTATAGTAAAATGAATCATTGAAGGAAAAAAACGAGTTGGGGGAGCACTCAAATTCGATTCTATGAATTACTTCTCTGGGATTCTTATAGATAATTATCTTCAGAAACACACTAAAAAGAAATAAGCTACGCGACGTCAAATAAGTGTATATTGGACAGGACAAATTACAAATGATATTATTTTTACCATACTGAACACAATTGTACTGCTTGGTGTAATGTTCATCTGTGAGAATTGAAAAGTACCACTGTCTTGTTCATTATGTTTTTCACGCTAGTTACATGGTACCGGCTATCAGGAAACGTGCCTCATCTACAGGAGCCAGAATCTTTCCAGGAAATGGAAACTCATAAAATTTCGAATCTCATAATGATTGTCTTAATGAAAATTCATGCTTTGTACTGCTTTCGATTTTCTTCTCAAAAACGACGTTTCCGATTGCTAATACATGATAGGCGCAGTCATTTGCACCACAAGGGTCAATTGCCAACCTGTGCCAAATTCTCTCTCAACTTTTCTGCATCCCCTTCTTGAAGAATTTGGGATAAACAGAGAGTACTGACGTTCCAACTGAATTTTGGATGCTAGATTTAGCTGCGAAAATAACTGATTATGACAAAATGGTTTAGACTTTCGCGGCCTAGGGTTTTCAGTGTCACTGTTTTTCGAGTTTGAAAGCCGTGGATTTTCGGAATTTCTTCCTGACGTTTCGCTGGCGCAAGTGGCTAGCTTCTTCAGAGGTTTAATCATCTTGGGTTGCTGTCCGATGACAAACTTTTTGGCTTTGTAAAGCGTATTTATGCCTTGTCAGGTAATCAGTTGTATTTGTACCTGCACTTGTACCTGTACTTGAACCTGGAACATTAACAATCTTGCCGCCTGTCGTCATTCTGTTCGTTATTCTCGAATTCCTTGAAATGGGGTTCCATATTCGATTGAGGTTCACCGCTTCTTCTTTTCTGTTGAAATTCTCTGTGTGTTTATGAATCTCTATTGCCTGCCGTACCAGTCGGCTATGGTATCCCTGATTGGGGGCAATTAGTTCTGTGTTTTCAAACAAAATTATGTGGTCTCCTTCACTGAGTGCGTGTTCTGCCACAGCTGACTTGTCCGTTTGACCTAGTCTGCAGTTCCTCTTATGCTCTTTCAGTCTTGTTCCCATGGATCGTTTGGTGGTTCCGATATATACCTTCCCACAAGTGCACGGTATGCGATAGACCCCTACTGCTGATAATGGATCTCTTTTGTCTTTAGCCGACCTGAGACTTTGTTGTATCTCGTGAGTTTGAAGACTGTTTCGATGTCGTGTTTATCCACGCATATCTACCTTTTATCCCTAGGGATATAAGGTAGATATAGGGTATCCCTAGGGATATAAGGTAGATATGCGCGTGCAACCATCTGATCCTTTTTTACTTTTTGAACCGTGATGCTCTTCGGTTTCATGGCTTTTCTGATTTCGGGGGCACTGTATCCATTCGATCTCAAGGTCCCTTCGAAGTATTTCAGTTCCCTCTCCAGGTGTTCTGGTTCACATATTCTCCGAGCCCGTTCCGTTAGAGTGGAGATGACTCCTCTCTTTTGGCTAGGATGGTGGTTCGATAGTGCGTGCAAGTATCTATCCGTGTGTGTGGGTTTCCGATACACTTTGTGGGTGAGTCTGGTACTACATCGTTTTAATACTACATCAAGGAAAGCTATCCGTTGGTCCTGCTCAATCTCCATGGTGAATTTTATGCTTTGGTGTTGGGCGTTCAAGTGGTTCATGAAACGGTTCAGGTCGTCTCTTCCATGTTTCCAGATGACGAAGGTGTCATCCACGTAACGTAGCCACAAGATCGGCTTCAATTTAAAAGTGTCTATCGCTTTTCCTTCAAACCGTCCACTCAGCCCAGTGATAGCAAATTATTTCATGGAACGGGAATTAATTTCTTTATATTCTGAATATTTCAAATTTTCAACAAATGTCATGTAACTTTTTATTATGTTTTTCATTAAGTTCTGAAGATGGGAATTGATTTGGCTTCAGAAATGTCAATTTCAAAACAGTTTGAAAACTCATAGCAATATTTCACAATGAAATAATTACTATTTTATACATGTTCAAATTCTGATTCATTTCAGAGTGAGTGTTCGACTTGGAGAACATAATATCGACAATGAAACAGACTGTTATTTCAACGGTTTCACACTTCAGTGTTCGCCTCCTCCTATTAATGTACCTGTTGAGGAAACTATAGCACATGAACAATACGAACCATATGATAATGACCATTATCATGATATAGGTTTACTCAGACTGGCCAGAAATGTTGAATTTTCCGGTGAGTTACCACTTTATAGGCATAAATGGAAAATATTTCAGTGAAATTGCCTTTCTTGTAAGCTGTTGATCAAATGTTAAAATTTCGCGGGCTGCGTACATTCGATAAGTGATTCTTTATTTTTTTACGTTGGTACATTCGTCTCTAACATATGTTCACAGTTTCATCTGTTTTGCATATTAAGTTTGTTGATGAGGTGCATAAAAATTGGAAGTGTTTTGCGTGTTCGGCGATTTTCTGCTATCGAAAAAATGAGTCAAAGATTTTGCATCAAATTTTGTGTGAAAAATATTGACAGTGGCATACGGTGATTGTACTCAGAAGTCAGAAAAATATTGCGCTACATATTTCTAAGGCCTTTGACCGTGTGTGGCATGAGGCGACCTTCAATCGTATACCATCCATATTTGAAATAACGCAATCGAGAAACATGGAGAATCAAGATTTGTTGCGATTGATATTTCTAAAGCCTTCGACCTTGTGTGGCATGAGGGTTTGCTAGCCAAACTTTTTGGCTTGTCGGATCATTTTTGTGTATGGCTCTTCAGCTTACTAAAAGAACGTTTCCTGGCCTTCGATGGATATCTCTTGAATACTTTTACCACTATCGCTGGTGTTCCCCAGGGATCCATATTGTCTCCAACCCATTTTAACTGTATATCAACGACTTATTGAAAAAAAAACAAGAATCCAGTACATTGCCTTTCTGACGACAGCACACTTTTCATCATTCCATTTGAATGCCAGGACATCGACTACGGAGGCACATCTTCACCGGAAGTAGGAATTTGCATATTTTAATAGGAATCTAGAAGTGATTTCGAATGGGGGTGAAAGTAACTAGGTTCAATTCAATACTTCAGAAACCCAGGCATCGGTTTTCTCCAAGAAGATAAATGTCTCCAAACCGGATATAATAATGTCAGGTCAGACAATTCTGCTTTCTGCTTCTATGAGTTTGTTGGGGGTTAAAATGGACACCAATATGTCTTGGCACAATCATTTCGCTGGAATTGCGAAGGCATCGTCTCGAAAGCTTGGAACACTTTACGTTGGTACATTCTTCTCGAACATATGTTCACAATTTCATCTGTTTTGCATATTAAGTTTGTTGATAAGGTGCATAAAAATTGGAAGTGTTTTGCGTGTTCGGCGATTTTCTGCTATCGAAAAAATGAGTCAAAGATTTTGAATCAAATTTTGTGTGGAAAATATTGACAGTGGCATACGGTGATTGTACTCAGAAGTCAGAAAAATGTTGCGCTCCATATTTCTAAGGCCTTTGACCGTGTGTGGCATGAGGGTTTGCTAGCCAAACTTTTTGGCTTGTCGGATCATTTTTGTGTATGACTCTTCAGCTTCCTAAAAGAACGTTTCCTGCAAGTGGCCTTCGATGGATATCTCTTGAATACTTTTACCACTAACGCTGGTGTTCCCCAGGGATCCATATTGTCTCCAACCCATTTTAACTGTATATCAACGACTTATTGAAAAAAACCAAGAATCCAGTACATTGCTTTGCTGACGACAGCACACTTGTCATCATTCCATTTGAATGCCAGGACATCGGCTACGAAGGCACATCTTCACCGGAAGTAGGAATTTGCATATTTTAATGGGAATCTAGTAGTGATTTCGAATGGGGGTGAAAGTAACCAGGTTCAATTCAATGCTTCAGAAACCCAGGCATCGGTTTTCTCCAAGAAGATAAATGTCTTCAAACCGGATATAATAATGTCAGGTCAGACAATTCTGCTTTCTGCTTCGATGAGTTTGTTGGGGGTTAAAATGGACACCAATATGTCTTGGCACAATCATTTCGCTGGAATTGCGAAGGCATCGTCTCGAAAGCTTGGAACACTGTTCCGAACCGAAAACTGTACACACCTCATCAACTTTTGATGCTTCATGAAGCACAGATCAGACCTTCTTTGGAATATTACTTCGCTCCCAAACATATTCTGAAGTTGCTGGATTCCATCCAGAAAAGAGCCATCCGCTTGATTGGAGTCGCGAACATCACGTGCAACCTTGATAGCTTGGAACATCGAAGAAAAGTTGGAAATTTGTCACTTTTCTATAGATACTTTCACGGAAAGTATTCAAGTGACTTGGTATATATTAAAAATACGCCACGAACTGTGGCTCCTCATCGTTTTGAGGTTCAACTCAGTATACCTCGAACATCACTGTTTAAGAACTCCTTCATCTGGAAAACACTTCCTGAGAACGTTTTTTCAAATAGATTTAATCTCCAGCGATTTTCCTGCAGTGCTTTTGTTTTGTCCTTGAAAAAAAAAAACGAATCGTTCAACCTTTTCAAAGGAATTCAAGAAAATGTTGATGACGACTCTCGCTCTAACGCTCCAGCACATCAACAACAGACAAAAATGTTGAGAAAGTGAAGAAAATTTTAATGGAGAATCGTCTAAACACCATTAGTCGCTGAGGATAACGGCATATCGGTTGGCTTTCCAAAATTGCTAAATTTTGACAAAAAAAATCGTTGCATGATCATAACTCAGGAATTGTTGAATGACGTCAATGGGGATCCAGATTTTTGTAAAAGGTGGTGACGAATCATGAGTATACGGTTATGACATCGAAACCAAATGACAACCTAGACCTAAAAAGCACGTCAAGTTCGATCAAATGTCAAGGTTTTCTTCGATTACTGTAGCGAAGTGCATCAGAAGTTCTTGCCACATGATCAAACGGTCGATGAGGAGTATTATCTTGAAGTTATGCGTCGCTTGCGACAAGCAATACGAAGAAAACATACGGTTTTGTGGAAAAGCAATTTAATGTTTTGGCCATAAACAACCAAATCATTATGTCTCAGCCATCGTATCTTTCAGATTTGGCCCCCTGCGACTTTTTCCTGTTTCCTGAAATGAGTAGACGAAAACCCAATCGCTGAGAGAGCTCAAAAGTACATATCAGAACGCAAGTGTATTTATTATATCTAAGGGGAACCTTTTTGAAGGGGACGAAATAGAAACTGATGAATAAATAAATATACTTCAAAGAAAATGGAAATTCACCTTATTTTTGAACAGAGTGTAATATACAAAGAAAAATGCAGTTAAGTTGAATAATCCCATTATAACGTGATTGTATTTAGTGTTTTGCGCCTACTTTAGCAAAATTTAACTTCAGTGAAGTCTATAGACATTGTATTTGGTGTTGAATGTAGTATTTTTCTTTCATTCGCAACAATGTCACATCGTTAAGGTACAACACATTTATCAGAAACTGCTATGAAATAAAAATCATTATGTGTTGATAATTGTGTGGCAAAAAAAGTAGTACTTTCACTGGGGAAGCAACCTCACTGAGATTACTTCAAGGTAAGTCCATTCTTGCTGCTGAGAATCCGATCATACTCAGACTTGAGTGAATAGCTGCATTACTTGGTCTAAAGTTATCTAGTTCCATAAAGAATCTTGAAGAATTTTCTGAAATTAAAATATATTATAGGTTCCATTCCATTGGAAATTCATCTAGCGTTACCTAATATGACTAATAACCAGTACGTGCAAAGCTTATTGTTAAATAATCTGAAAATGGAATTTTTAACAGGTGATGATCGACTGTATTGCCAAACATGCACCAAACTCACTGACTGTTATGAGGAAATAAGTATAGCTGAGGGACCAGTCAATCTAATAATGAAAAAATCTGTTTGTTTGAAATCTGTTTTTCCGTTAATCAGCTGTCGCCCCCATACGAACGACAACTCTCAGAAGTTGAGAAACTTGTGCGAGCTAAGGACTAACGAGGTCTTGCCTTTTAACGTGTGATTCCTAACACTGATGATTTTCAAACAAGACTCAACCTCTGACGGAAGCAATAAACTCTTTCGAAGGTTCGAAATAGATGAACATTTCAATCTAGCAGACCACTATTATAATATTTATGTAGTTATTATTCACTGTGGTTCTGGCGTTGAATTTGTTCATTATTACGCCTTGGTCAAAGATGAAACGGATTGGTTTGAGTTTGACGATAGTCGTGTCACGAAGTGTTCTGGCGAGAGTCAGTGTAAGAGAGTCACAGGCGTTCAAACAATTTGAGTATTCATCGAAAACAAATCTGGATATTGAGAGGTAGAGAGATCGCAAGGCAAATTATCAGGAAATGTGGTAAATGTAAAAGAGAAAAGATACAATTCTAAATCTGTGAATACTCCAGGTGCTCCTTTTCCATAAAATAGAGTAAATTGACAAGCTGCTTTCGAAGTCCGAAGTATCGATAAAAATGCAAAGAAACGCTGATATCTTAATTTTCCGCTTATGTTTTGTGAAAAACCTTCTTACATATGTTGATAGATGGTACAAGAACTGAAATCTGTTGCGCGTATTTCATTCATATCTTCAATTTATGGACCATAATGTGAAAACAATCTTCCAACTGATATCAATTCATTCCTAAATATGGACAACATTGAAAATTGGAGTGCCAATTTGACATTGTCAAGTAGTGCTACTCGAGTTGTATTCAATGAAATGTTGAAATTCATTCGATCTCCTTATTATTTTATTATATGCAATTTGTATCGATTTAACTAGAGCAATGTATCTCAAAAATGGAATGGTAAAAACATATTGTAGGAATAATTGAAAAACTTTTAGGGTGGAATTTGAACATCCGTAACTTTTGACATTGTTCTAAGACAGTGAAACACTTATTAATGCATGACCAACAACATACATTTCTGAAGATCATAATAAAGTCAATCTTTCAATACGATCAATGTTCAGCAGGAAACAATGGAATACATAATTTGGATGAAGTCTACAGACAACATTTGATGAACCGGTATAAATTAATTCAAAAGTAGGGAGTTGTTTTCCGTAATCATTCCAGAAAGGAATACCCGGTAGGGCCGATTAAAACTGGTCAATGCAAAGTACGAAATTTGAATGTAAGAGACATCGGCAATATGAAAAGATTAATTGGCCTTTAGAACGCATAATAGAAGTATATCCTGGAAAGGACTGTTTCCAGTATAAGTTAGTAGTAGGAAAAAGTTGAATGGCAATAGAAGTGAAGAGCCAAACTAAAAGGATGAAGATATCGAGATGAATGAAAAAAAAATGGTCAGAAGACGAGGAACCTCGACTGGTGACAAGATCTGGACATATTGCTGAGTTACCAGAACGTTATGGTTTTGATATGAGTTGAATTTCATTTCATTTCAACATTCTGTAAGAAACTTGTCAAAGAGGGAAGGATGTTGGAATTGGATGGTATCATAGTCAAATTGTTATATTCATAACTTGATGTTCGTTCTAATATATTAACATACTGTGAAAGATAATTTTTGTTGAATAAAACTATCATCAAGTTTCTAGATTCAACATAACTTTGCAACATTTTGAAGTTCAAAATTAACAAAATCAACTGAATTCTCTTCAGTACGTTATTATGGTTGTCATGTAGGATATTCCAGAAGATGTTCCCCAGGTACGATTCGAGAGTTGAACATCCAGCCCTGGATAACTGCAGGTGACCTAAGATGATAAGGAAAGCATCTTCTGGCTATTATCATAACCCTGGAGCTATTGGAGCGCTTCTACCTGAAATGAGTCACAGAAAAACTACTTTCCAAGCCTAATATTTGTGTGTAGTCACAGACTAACCTAAGATCAATTCCTCACTAGATTGAGAAAGATCTGTGTCAACATTGAGGTGAAGTATTTTTCACATAGACATTTATACCGTGTGCTCTCACCGTTGCGGACCGGATAAGGTTTTGATCTTAGAGTCCCATTCTTGTTAGCTGACCGCAAGATCACTCATCAAATAAAGTAATCGGCTTCGTCGAGAAGCCTCAATGATCTCTCTAGGGTGACAGTGAAGGATCTACTAGACAAACTCACTTCGGATCTACCGACGGAATTCCTCTTCTCCAGAGGTATGAAATTCAAGGTTATTTGCGTAAAATTCACGTGAAACAAATGCGTGACCTTATGCTTCAGATTTCGAACGATGTCACAGTTAACCTCAAAATTTTTTTGAGCTCAACAGATAATGGAAAAAATAAGACACAGAAAAAAAGGTGCTGAAGAAATCGCCCTGAAATAAATTCCTTCTGAAAGTCACCAACTCTGGTCTCTAGCCTGACGAAATATAGTGAAGCTTTCGATATCAGTTGTTCGAAGTATCTCACTTTTTTGTCAAGTACTTTGAGGCATTTAAGTAAATGGAAGATGAGCTTATGAAATATCGTTTCGAATGTATTGCGGTAAGAGCCAGGAAGAGATTGTGCTTATACTGTACTGTGTCCTGCCTTAAACATCTATCGATGATAAGATTTTCTTCATATCCAGCGACTTCTCTCACTGACCCTTTTTGCTCATAAATCAGTTCGATAACTTGGTCAACTCACTGCTTCCACTAGAGACATGAAATGAAATATATGTCCTGATGGGCTCTGTTACTTTTTCCACCACTGTTTTGATTTTTTTGGGATGAATGTCGCCGAATCGTTTTTCGAATTATTGTGAATCTGTGTGTCGGGGGTAATACTTTGGATGATGTCAATGAATAAATTCACTGTAGGTGTATACAGGACAAGTCAAAAAAATTTCTTTGGTTTAGTGCTCTCGGGTGAAACAATTTTTCTAAATGTTCAAGACTAATTTTCAAAATTATTTTCTCACACACTGAGTGATTTAAATGAGCGTCGCCAAACAACTTTATGAATTTTTTATAGGAACACCCAGTATATAGGTATTTTTTAGGTTTTCTGAGAATTTTTTATTATCAGAGTTCTGTTGCGGCTTTGCCAAATCATTCCCAAGTTCTGTCTTGCAGATAAGTATTCAAAAACAGCAATTGAATGAATGTTTTTCAGAAATACTGAGTAACTATGACCATTTCTAGTCTAGGGATTTTAGAATGTTGTGAAGGACTGTCGATGAAACTTTTCAAGTTTCATTAATTTTCAAAGAATTGTTCAATATTTTGAATGGAACACATTAGTTGTATANAGAATTGTTCAATATTTTGAATGGAACACATTAGTTGTATATTATAGGGGTATAGAGTATACTATATGTAAAAGTACGTCAAAATTGAGAAAAATGTTTAAATAAATATTCAATTATAATTATTTACAAGACATATTATGTATATGCTTGTGTGTGAGGTGTTTTAGAATAGTTACTTGTATCACTTGACATCTGAAATCCGTAATTATCTTCGATTATATTGAATACATTTGTTGATTTGATATAATTTTTATAAATGAGAAATGATATTGGTGCTGAATTGATAGGTTATTCATTGCGACTCCAGATGAAATGAAATCAGGCGGATTTATTTTTTCTCATATACAAACTATTTCCTTTCTCTTGCGAGACATCAACTAATATTTTTGACTGAAAGCAAGAGTCTGCACAGACTGCATCAATCAAATTTGTCATTTCAATTTAAATTCTAGGTACCTGTCAGAGCTATCTCAGAATGTTCCCAAATCTACAGCCAAGCTGGTGTCAACCTCCAAGGGGCTCAGGTCTGTGCGGGTGGTGAAAATGGAAAGGATTCCTGTAAAGGCGATAGTGGAGGGCCTCTAATGAGCCTAAATGCTGATGAAAATGGGGAGATAAATTGGTACTCTATTGGAGTTGTTGCATTCGGTCCTTCACCGTGTGGCATGCAAGGATGGCCTGGTGTATACACTAAAGTTGCCAACTATGTATCATGGATTGTTGATAAATTGAAGCCATGATAATGAAAATCAGACACTTTTCATACTTATGTAATATTGAAATATAAAAGTATACTTCAATACAAGTTTTGCAATGCTCCTAATGCTATGAGTTTCAAAATCAATACACCAAATAGTACTGTTGAAACTTTCATAAATAGACTTTTCAATGCATATACTCAATCATAGTAACATAAATATTGATTTTTCGGGCGAATCCCACAGTAAATCGCTTCTCACTGATCTGTTGGACAGTTACTATCTAACTTGCAGGAATCTGAAGCTTACAAAAGTATCGAAAATTATTAAAACCAAGAGAAATGAAATAAAAATTGACTATTTTTCACGGATATCTGCCAGATGAGTTACACCGAATAGCTAAAAAACATGAATATACCAGACCATCTTGGTTCTGAATTATTGCAAACGGTTAACGATGTCCTGATTCGGGAGTATTTAGAAAGAAAGATCTACTAATTATAGTAATCTATCAATATTTCAATTATAGATAGAGCTTGGAGAAATTACTGAAGCTTATGACAGTTGATACTAATAACATGTACAATAACTTTCTGGATATATTTCAATACAACCTATATTACAAAATGAACATTATTCACATTAACGAGAAAGGGTGGGTAAACGATCAAATCATTTCAATGGGTCAAAATTCAGAAAAATTATTCTGATTGGCAAAAAATCAGAATGATTACGAAGCAGAGCAAATATATATATAGAGAAACTATACAGTTATATAAACAATATCTGAATAAGAACAAAAAATATATTACTTGTGAAGGCACACTCCAAAATTGAAACACACTCAAAACAGACGAAAATATGAAATATGGTTGAAGGAAAACCGTAAAATATGTTTCGAATTCAATCAGTCAATCAATATATGCTTTATTGTCGGAATATTAGTATCTTATTGACAAATTCTTGTAAAAAAATAAATGAATGTCATAAAATATAAAAAAATACAAAATACAATACATGACATAAAATATAAAAAATACAAACATAACAATTTCACAAATAAAACATTAAGAAGACAGATGAGTTTAGGTGAACATTGAAAATGCAAGTAGAATTTACAGGTTATCGTGGTAGAATTCATGAATCGAATAATAAGATTTTTTGATCAAAAGATATTTAAGTGTACTTCGGAACTTTTTGATATCTATGCTATTTTTTAGAATGGTAGGGAGGTGATTATATACTTCAATACTTTCATAAATCAGAGAATGCTGAGTCAAGGTGAATTTTGGAATAGGTCAGTAAATCATATGGTTCTGTCTGGTGTTGTAACAATTTGTTCCAGGAGTGTACATGCTAGTTTCGTTTTTATGAAATGAGAATACTGTTTCCATTATGTATAAATAGGTGACAGTTAATATTTTGTGGCTGATGAATAAAGGCTTGCAGTGATCTGTTGTTTTAGACTAAAATACCTCTTCTGTAGCTTAAATATCGTATTCTGTAACTGTAAATTACAATGGCCCCAGAAAGCTATTCAACAGCGAATATGAGATTCGATCAGTGCAAAGTAAGTCATTCTAGCTGTAGTGTACCCTAGTTCATTTGATATGTTCCAATAACTGTTTAAAAAAATCTGTTTTGAATCTGTTTTTCCGTTAATCAGCTGTCGCCCCCATAGGAACGACAACTCTCAGAGTTGAGAAACTTGTGCGAGCTGAGGACTAACGAAGTCTTACCTTTCAACGTGTGATTCCTAACACGGTACACACAACAATATATGAGTTTTTCTGTTTCTGTTCTGTTTTTCTGTTATTCAGCTGTCGCCCCCATAGGAACGACAACTCTCAGAGTTGGGAAACTTGTGCAAGCTGAGGACTAACGAAGTCTTACCTTTCAACGTGTGATTCCTAACACGGTACACAACAATATATGAGTCAAATACATTCTATTTTCATCCTGTGTTCGAATGTGATGTGATAGATGCATGAATGATTTATAGAGTTATATTAGGTGTAATATTCCCAAAGAAGTCAAAATCATACAATTTTTGTCAGAAATCAATATGAAATGTGGAAACTGAAATAATTTGTGAATTTTACGTTTCAGAAATAAATCAAAATTAATTGAATAAATAAAAATTTTTTCATAAAAATTGAAATTCACCTTAATTTTTGAACAGAGTAGTATATAGTAGGGTAATATAGTAGGGTAGTATTTCTGACATGAACATCATTGAATTCATAGAACAATTTGTCGAATACAATTATAAAATTCAATTATCTATTTCACAGAGCATATATTGCATCAATATAATTATTCAATACATAAAATACTCTACCATGGAATGGATCTACCATTCCAAATTTTGCATTTCAACAAGAGATCTCAGTAAATATGAAGGAACCAACACTGGAATCATAAAAGATTTGGAGGAGCCCTACAAAAAGAGATTATAACCAGATCATAATCTAGAAATGCTGAAGGATTTTTTCATCGAGCACCTAATTTCGAATTGAAAAAGTAACTGATTTATATCGTTAAAAGGATACCAGAAATATCACGATCCATTGAATTTCGGAGTACTAAGATATCAACTTCGATAGTACGATTCAGATCTCAGGACTGAAAAAACTTCCAAACGCGACATTTTTTATGCTATTTACGTGTTCTTCGAACTTGCAATAAACCATCGACCTCATCAAAACCAATATTTTTTTGCAATACTTACGCGCACCATATCTGCTAAACGAACTAATGAATTACGATTTGTTGGATCCTTTTTTTGAAGTGTTGGAGCCCTGGCGTAGGACTCTATACAAGGCGTTCTAACGAAAACTTGACCCCTTCTCTGTAAGTCAGAAACGGACGCGTAATTGAGAATTTCGAAAGACAAGTCAATTTTTATTTCTAAGGGGACTGATTCTGATATGAAAATCATACCCGTAACTTCACCTCCCTGCGGTCAGCAACTATCCCCCCTATGGCATGGCGGGTCGAGTGATACATTATTCAAAACGTCTTTTGTTGATCTATCATTTCTGTAATTTTTTTCGAAATCGGTTCAGTCGTTATTGAGAAATTAAATGTTGAACGTTTGATTTAGGAAAAAACAGAAGATTCGCTGTCGTTCATTTTAATGAGGAAATCAACAACAAATAATATCAGTAGAAACAAAATCAACGGATAAATTGTTCGAAATGACCGCCACCTAGTTTTATACAATGATACAGTCTAGTCTCGAAAGCGTTCCGTACATTATTCAAGATGTCCGGGGTCAGCAGTCGGCATTTCCGAACAACTCTGTGTCTTCCAGATTTGTAGGATTAGTACACTTTCAACATCAGGTGTCCCCAAAGAAAGAAGTCGGTGTTAGATCAGGTGATCCAGCTGGTCACTCCACTGGACCCCTTCTGCTGATCCAACGCATTGGAAAGCATTCGTCCAAAAACTGTCTTACCAGAACATCAAAATGTGGGGGTGCACCATCCTGCTGAAATGTTATTTCATTTTCTACTAAATTGTCATCATTTTCTATAATATAGGATCTACACAGTCTTGTAATATATTTAAGTATGTGTATCCATTGAGATCACCTTCAATGAAGAATGGTCCAACAATGTGATTACGAAGAATGCCGGTCCAGACATTCACATCGCTTCACTAATGACAATTATGTCTATTATTCCCTTCACCATTCATCATGAAAGAACAATCATCTAAAAAACATGTATTGTATAATAGGTTTGGGTTATTGGTCAATTTCTCGCTGAACACCTCACAAAACACTAGTAGCTGATACACCAAACGCTCTGGATACTTGTCTGATAGACTGTCGATTATCCATTTGTACATGTCCTAAAACTAAAACTTCAACTCCGTCATTTGTGACAGGACGTGATACTTCATATTTTCTGTTGTGAACAGAAGCTGAAGTTCGAAACTTATCCATTAACTGTTTAACGTATTGGTGGCTCATGTTGTGGTCTGGACGATTGGAATTATAAATTCTTGCAGCAGCTTTAGCACATTCATTATTTCGATAAAAGGTTGCAACAATTTCTATTCTTCCTTCAGCAGAATAAACCATATTAGAACACAGTGAACAAGGATGAACTCGTGAAGAAGTGACAGATGTCAACTATCATGTTAGGATAATCCTAACATTAAAATCACACGTTAAAAGGTAAGACATCGTTAGTCCTTTACTCGCACAAGTTTCTCAACTTCTGAGAGTTGTCGTTAATATGGGGGCGACAGCTGATTAACGGAAAGACAGACAGACAGATCTACTTCCTGTTCTGCGACAACTGGATTCAACAAAACCTACCAGTGCAGAAAAAACTGACAGTGTCCTCTATTTCAAAACGTTCACCACTAATTAAATATATTCTACAAATCTCGAAGACCTGCGACAGAGAATTGTTCGGGAATGCCGATTTCTGACTCCGGACATCTTCAATGATTTAAAGAACGCTTTCGAAATTAGACTGTATTATTATATGGAACTGGGTGAAGGTCATTTTGAACACTTTGTCTGTTGTTGTGTTATCATTTTGAACACTTTGTCTGTTGAAGAAGTAATAGAGAGACTAAAGACCTTTCAAATGATGTATCATTTGACCCCCCATGTCGTTGAAAAAAATAGAAGGGGTAGTTGCTGACCGCAGGGGGGTGAAGTTTCGGGTATGATTTCCATATCAGAATTAGTTTTCCTAGAACTAAAAATTGACGTGTTTTTTGAAATTTTCGATTACTCATCTGTTTCTGACGTACAGATGAGTCAAGTTTTCGTTGGAATGCCCTGTAAATTGATAGATATACGAAGTGGTCAAATGAAAAGTTTGGAAATCGAAGCAAAAATGATCGAACACATGGAGATTGTTTCAGAAAGGGCACATTTTAGACATATGTTTCAGTTGAATGTTTTCACAATGTATACTTTATTTTCAATGCGCTTTTCACTTCCTTCCACTTCCTCAGTTCGACACGTCGTAGTAGTTTTCCTATGAAGTCGCATCATCGGATTATAGCAGAGTGTACCTAATATTCTACAGAATGTAAAAAAAATAGATTTGAACAAAATCTATATTTTTGTATGAAAGGAACGAGGTCACATTTTCAAC